AGCAGCCTGGGCATTGTGGCCACACCGGCACAGGTGTGTGGGGGAGTGCTGTCCCGGGGAGGGGGGCATTGCCCATCGTCTGCCTCCCCAGTGTCACCACGGGCCCTGTTGCAGGTGCTGGATGGGGAGGCTGTGGGGGTGACAGCATTCGGGTACTCGCTCTCGGGGGGGCTGGATGTGGATGGGAACCTCTACCCCGACCTGCTTGTGGGATCCCTCTCGGACACTGTGGTGCTGTACAGGTGGGTGCCCCTTCAAGGGTGTCCCATCCCGAACCCCCCGTCCCTGAGACCCCTATTCCAGAGCACCACATCCCTGAGCAACCCCCATCACCTCCATCATGGCCTCCCCTTACCCCCGACCCGAGCTTCCCCTGGCCTGGGGGGTTCCAGGTGCAGGGTTCGGGGTGCCCGGGGCGGGGGGGGGGGGGTGTCCCATCCTGTTCCCCCCGTTTCTCCCCGGCAGAGCCCGCCCCGTCGCCCACGTCTCCCGCAATGTGACACTGGACCCTCCCAACATCGACCTAGAGCAGAGCAACTGCCGGCACCAGGAGGGCGTCTGGTGGGTACCCCCCGATCCCCCCCCCCCGTACCCATCTGTACCCCTGCAGTGGCCCCCGGCTCACTCGCTGCCCCCCAGCGTGGACGTCAGCGCCTGCTTCAGCTATACAGCCACTCCCGGCAGCTTCGGCCCCCGCCTCGGTGAGCGCCGGGGGGAGCAGTCCCTGTGCCCCACCCCGTCCCCCGGCAGGACCAGGACCCGCCTGGCACTGCGGCTGTCCCTGTGCCCCCAGCGCTGCAGTACGTGTTGGACGCGGACGCGGAGCGGCGGCGCCTCGGCCACACTCCCCGCGGTGTCTTCCTGAGCCGCCGCAGCTCGGACCCCGAGCACCAGTTCTCTGGCATCGTGGAGCTGCCGCGGCAGCAGGCGCGGGTCTGCGTCACTGCCACCTTCCAGCTCCAGGTGGGGCCCAGCCCATCCCCTTCCCCATCCTCATCTGCATCCCCCTCCCTCTTCCACATCATCTCCATCGCATTTGCATCCCTATTCCCATCATCATCCCTATCCCCACCTCCATCTTCATAGAATCATTTAGGTTGGAAAACACCTTTAAGACTGTTGAGTTCAGCTGTAAACCTCATCCTTGTTTCCATCCCCATCCATATTCCCATGCCAACCCCACCCTACCCTGTGCCTCCATGGCTCCCCTCGCCCTCATTCCCACAGGACAACATCCGTGACAAGCTGCGCCCCATCACCATGACCCTGGCTTATGGCATCCATGGAGATGGGGCCACACGTCTGCGCCAGGATTCAGCGCGGCTCCGCCGGGCCTCAGTCCTGCCGCCACTGTCACCTGTGCTAAGCCCACAGCAGCCCAACAGCCACCGCACTGAGGTGGGCACTGACCACATTCCTCCTTTGTGCTCCATGGGTCCCATTACCTGGAGCATCCCTGTTCCTGCTCCATGGGTCTCATTGCCTGGAGCATTCCTCTGCCCCCATGTCCCCAGGTTCACTTCCTGAAGCAGGGCTGTGGGGATGACAAGATCTGCCAGAGCAACCTCCAGCTCCACTTCCAGTTCTGCGCCCGCCTTGGGGATGCTGAGTTCCTGCCACTGCCATGGTGAGGGGGGGGACACGGTGGGTGCTCACACCACAGAGTGCCGGGGACCCCCCGGGGGGGTCTCACAGTGGCTCTGCTGCAGGGGGGACGATGGTGCCGCCATCCTCGCCATCAGCGACCAGAAGGACGTGGCCCTGGAGATCCACGTCACCAATGAGCCCTCGGAGCCAGCAGAGCCGCAGCGGGATGGGGACGACGCACACGAGGCGCTGCTCAGCGCTTCCTTCCCCCCCGAGCTGCCCTACTCTGCCCTGCGCCATGATGAGGGGCACCCCACGGTGTGCATGCGGGTGCTGGGGGGAGGGTCGCTATGGGGCGGGGGGGCTCAGTTCTCTGTCCCCCAGGAGAAGCCGGTGCTGTGTCTCGCCAACCAGAACGGCTCCCGTGTGGAATGTGAGCTGGGGAACCCCCTGCGGCGCGGGGCCGAGGTGGGTGCAGCCCCCCTGAGAACCCAATCCTGCTCCCCCCCTGTCCTGCCCCCCCGATCCTGCCCCTCTCACCCTTCCTCTGCCCCCAGGTCCGGTTCTTCCTCATCCTCAGCACCTCAGGCATCACGCTCCAGACCACAGACCTGGCGGTGGAGCTGGTGCTGTCCACGTGAGCCGTAGCCATGGGCACATCACGGGGGGAGGACTTGGGGTGATGCCCCCCCCATAAACCCCTGTTGCTCTCCACAGCATCAGCGAGCAGCCAGGGCTGGTGCCAGTGGTGGCTCGTGCACGCGTGGTCATCGAGCTGCCACTCTCAGTGACAGGGTGAGTGCAGCTGGGGAACCCCCATTGTCCCCATAGTGTGGATGTGGGTCCAGGAACCACCCCTGGCCCTGCCCTGACCCCCCCCCTCCCTCGTTGTCCCCATAGCGTGGCGGTGCCACCGCGGCTCTTCTTTGGCGGCACCGTGCGGGGGGAGAGTGCCGTAAAGCACGAGAGCCAAGTGGGCAGCGCCGTGCGCTTCGAGGTGACGGTGAGTGCCCGTCCGGGGGAGCCCCACCGTCCGCCCTGCACTCACTGATGCGCCAGCCTTGCTGATGCCATGACTTCCCAGGTCTCCAACCGGGGACAGTCGGTGAAGACGCTGGGCTCAGCCTTCCTGACGCTGCTCTGGCCCCATGAGCTCCCCAACGGGAAGTGGCTCCTGTACCCGCTGCACATGGAGTTGGTGGTGGCCCCGGGACAGGGGCTGCCCTGCAGCCCTGCCGCCAACCCCCTGCGCCTGGCGCTGGTACGGCCACTGCCATGGGGACACACCGGTGCCTGCCTGGCTCCTGCTGCTCCCACCCCATTCGCAGCCTTATCCCCCCTCTCCTACAGGAGCCCCAGGGGCAGCCAGAGCAGTCCACGCCAGGGGCCTGGTGGGTGCCAGCAGCTGCTGAGAGGAGGAGGAATGTCACGTTGGTGAGAGGGGGGAACCCGGTTATGGGGTGAACCCGGTTATGGGGTGCCCCTATTCAGGGGGTGCACTTATCCTTGGGGTACCCCTGCTTAGGGAGTGCCCCTGCTTGTGGCATGTCCCCGCTTATGGGGTACAGCCAGTCATGGGGTAACCCTGGCCTGAGGTGCCTCTGTTCATGGGGTACCCCATTCCTGCGGTGCCCCTGCTGGTATCTGACTCCCTCCACAGGACTGTGCCCAGGGCACCGCACGCTGCCGGCCATTCCGCTGCCCATTGCCCAGCTTTGAGCGTGCAGCCGTGCTGAGCGCCCGTGGCCGCCTCTGGAATGGCACCTTCCTGGAGGTGGGAGCCTTGGGACAGGCATGGGGACAGGGATAGGGACAGGGATGTGGCCGGTGCTCACCCCCCCCGCCTTGCAGGAGTTCCTGGCTGTCACCTCGGTGGAGCTCATCGTCCGCGCAAGTGTCTCAGTGACCTCCTCCATCAAGAACCTGGTGCTGAGGGATGCGTCGGTGAAGGTCCAGCCCCACCACACCCGGATCAACTACCCCCCCATACCCCCCTCCCATCCCGCTGACCCCTGTCCCCTCCACAGATCCCCGTCAGCATCTACCTGGACCCCAGTGCGGCAGTGGCAGGCGGCGTGCCCTGGTGGGTGATCCTGCTGGCAGTGCTGGCCGGTGTCTTCCTCCTGGCGCTGCTTGTGGCCGGGCTCTGGAAGGTGAGCGGCAGGGATAGGGTCTGGCAGCAAGAGGTGGCCCCTGCCCGAGGTGTGGGGTCCCCTGGGGGTGCTGTGCCACACTGTGCCGTGCTGTGCCACACAGTGGTGTGCCACGCTGGGCCACACTGTGTCACTCTGTCCCATGCAGGGCCATGCAGTGGTGTGCCACACAATGCTGTGCCACGCTGTGCTGTGCCACACTTTGCAGTGCTGTGCCACCCCTGCCATGCCACCCCAGAAATGCCATGCCAGCTGTGCCATGCCACCCCATGCTATGCCATGCCACCCAGCCATTCCATTCTTTGCCAGCCCATGCCATGCCACTCAGCCATGCCATGTCATGCCATCCCACCCAACCTTTCCATTCCGTTTTATGCCATACCGTGGCACCCACCCACCCCGTTCCATGCCAGCCTACAACACATGGCATGTGATGGCTGTGCAGCCCATGCATGCGTATGGTGCGTGTGTGTGCGTACACGTGGTGTGTGTGTGGGGCCGCAGGGCTGTGCTGGTGTGGGTCACTCTGAGCCTCACGGCGGGCACCAAGGCACGTCCGGGGCTGGGCGCAGCGGTCGTGGCGCAGTCCCCGGGACAGCCGTGATGCCGTGTGCCGCAGGCCGGGTTCTTCCGCCGGGCGCGGGCGGTGCCACCGGCGCTGCCGCAGCACCACGCAGTGAAGATTCCACGGGAGCAGCGGCCACAGTTCCGCGAGGAGAAGACGGGGACGATCCAGCGCAAGGAATGGGCAGCGCTGAGCGACGGCGGTGATGGCCGCGTCACCCCCAGCTCCGCGTGACCCCGGGACGTGCGACCCCCCCGGGGGATGGAGCCGCGGCGGCGGCACCGGGACGGGGCATCGCCCCGCAGCGATGCTCGACCCAATAAAGCAGCGGCCCCGCCATGGGGGCACCAACGACGGCGTCCACCATGAGGAGCGTGGCGAAGGGGGCAGGGAGCCGCCATGATGGGTGTGGCGAAAGGGGTGGGAGCCGCCATGATGAGTGTAGGCAAGGGGGAGCCGCCATGATGGGAGCGGCCGTTTCGGCCTGTGACCGTGCTGCCGCGGCAGGGCCGGGCTCTGCGTGCTGAGACAACGAGGCGCGTCCCCGCCCCGGTCCCGGCTCCGATCCCTCTCGACGTCCCGGTAACAGCGGTTCAGAGCGGAGGCGACCCCGCCCTGCCCTTAGTCAAGATGGCGGCGCCCTGACCCGAGGCGCGCAGGATAGCACCGCCCAGCGCGGCTTCAACCCGTCTGACGTGACGTCACCTTCCGGCGGGTACCCGGAGCGGCGCCATTGATAGCGGCGGAGGAGGCGGCGGCAGCGGCCCGGTCCCGGTGCCCGCTCCAGGCCATGGTGAGGCTGGGCCCGGCCCCGTTCCCGCTGTGAGCCCTGGGACCGGGCCCGTTCCCGCTGTGAGCTCTGGGGGCACCGGGCCCGTTCCCGCTGTGAGCTCCAGGGGGGCCCGCCCTCACCTCTGCCCCCCCCAGCACCGCTGCCCCCCGCACTGATGGCGTCGGGCGCCACGAGCCGCTCCGAGGACGAGGAGTCTCTGGCGGGGCAGAAGCGGGGCCCGGCCGCGGCCTCGGGCGCCGTCCCCAAGCGCCGGAGCTCGTCTCGGTACGGCGGGGCCGTGGCTGGGGCTGGGGCGGGCTCCTCCGCTCTCAGCCGCCTCCATTCTCCCTTCTCCTTCCGTTCAGGTTCATCAAGAGGAAGAAGTTCGACGATGAGCTGGTGGAGAGCAGCCTGGCCAAGCCCAGCCGCGCCAAGGGCGGCGCCGAGCCCGGGCGCTGCTCGGGCAGCGAGCCCTCCTCCAGCGAGAAGAAGAAGGTGCGCGCATGGCAGGGTCCCCAGGGGGCGCCGGTGGGACCCGAGGGGGGATGCGGATCGCGCAGAGCCCCAACCCCCGTTGTGCCCCCCCCCCAGGTCTCCAAGGTGGTGCCGGCGCCCGTCGTGCCCAGCCCGGTGCCCGCTCCTGGCCTGGCCAAGCGGCTCAAGAAGAGTAAGCAGCCGGTGCCGGTCACCAAGGACCTGGGCCGCTGGAAGCCTGCCGATGACCTCCTGCTCATCAACGCGGTGCTGCAGGTGCTGGGGGCTCCGGTTGTGGGGGGGGGGGGTCCCCCAAACTATCCCCTCCCTCACCCGGCGGCTCCTGCAGACCAACGACCTGAGCGCCGTGCACCTGGGGGTGAAGTTCAGCTGCCGCTTCACGCTGCGCGAGGTGCAGGAGCGCTGGTACGCGCTGCTCTACGACCCCATCATCTCCAAGTGAGTGCAGGGCTGGGGGGGGCAGAGCTGGGGGCTGCGGGGTCTATAACAGTGTCCTTCCCCCCCAGGCTGGCCTGCCAGGCCATGCGGCAGCTGCACCCCGAGGCCATCGCCGCCATCCAGAGCAAGGTCCTGTTCAGTAAAGCCGAGGAGCTGCTGCTCAGCAGAGTGGGATCGGTGAGAGGCCATGGGAGCTGGGGGGGGCAGTGGGGGTCCCCGGTGCTATCTGACCCCCATTTGCCCCCCCTCCAGGGCAGCCAGCCCTCGCTGGATACCTTCCAGGATCTGTTGCACAAGCACCCTGATGTGTTCTACCCCTCACGCACGGCCAAGGCACTGCAGCTGCATTGGCAGCTCATGAAGCAGTATTACCTCCTGGAGGACCAGACCGGTGAGCGTGGGGGTGTCCTGTGTGCCCTCCTAGCACCCACAGACCTCCCTGCACTCCTCAATTCTTCTCTCCTCTGTTCCTTCCAGTGCAGCCGTTGCCCAAAGGGGATCAAGTGCTTAATTTCTCGGATGCTGAGGACATGGTGGATGACAGCAAATTGAAGTAAGGGGATGGGGGAGGCCGGGAGTTGGAAAAGAGGGGACCTCATTCTCATCTCAACTCTGCTCCATAGAGATGTGCGGGACGAGGTGCTGGAGCATGGTGAGTCTGATTCGCTCCATCCAACAGCCTGACTCTGTGTGGGGAGGTCCCCCCCGGGAACATGGGGGGTGTCCCATAGGAGACCCCCTGCTCAGCTCCCATCTCCCCCTGGCCCAGAGCTGACTGTGGCTGACAGGCGGCAAAAGCGTGAGATCCGGCAGCTGGAGCAGGAGCTGCACAAGTGGCAAGTGCTGGTGGACAGCATCACAGGTAGGGGAGGGGGGGTCTGGTTGTGCCCCCCTCGGACCCATGTGGCCCCCCCCCATATCCCTGTTTTTGCCTCCCCAGGGATGAGCTCCCCGGACTTTGACAGCCAGACCCTGGCCGTGCTGCGGGGCCGCATGGTTCGGTACCTGATGCGCTCCCGGGAGGTGAGATCCCGCCTCCATCAGAGCCCCCCCACCCTGTGGACCTCCCCCCAACATCCACTTTTGCTTTCTCCTCCAGATCACCCTGGGCAGAGCTACCAAGGACAACCAGATTGACGTGGACCTGGCACTGGAGGGGCCAGCATGGAAGATCTCCCGCAAGCAGGGTGGGTTTGGGGGTTCTGGGGCAGGGGGGGGCATGCCCCCCCATCTTCTCACCCCCTTTCCCCCTCTTTCCAGGTGTCATTAAGCTGAAAAACAATGGGGACTTCTTCATTGCCAATGAGGGCCGGCGCCCCATCTACATCGATGGGCGCCCTGTGCTGGGTGGCAGCAAGTGGAAGCTCAACAACAACTCCGTAGTGGAGGTGAGCCCCAAGGCCATGGGGGGGTCCTGGGTCAGGGTCCCAACGCTCATTCTCTGTTCTGTACCCCCACCAGATAGCCAGCCTCCGCTTCGTTTTCCTTATCAACCAGGACCTCATCGCTCTCATCAAGGCAGAAGCAGCCAAACTGGCCCAGCAGTGACTGGGGGGCTGCTTGGCCCCCCCCCCCCGGGGGATCTGCCCCCCTCGCGGCCCCATAGATGGGGGTAGCACTTCCCAATAAAGCTCCTCAATGGACTCCAGGGCCTGGAGCTGCAGTTCATGGGTTTAATCTCTTCAAATTAAGACATTTGGAGTTCAAGAGAAGGAAGAAAAGTGGTGGGGGGATAAAGTTGCAGACCCCCCCAGCACCCCTAAGAACCTCCCTAGGCCCCTGCAATGTGGCTTTAGGCACTCGGCCCCTCTAGTGCTGCAGTTGAGCTGAGGGAGGACACAGGGTGGGAGGAAGGGGAAGGATTAAAGCCAAGGGATTCCAACATGGAAAACCCAGGGATGAGCAAAAGGGTGGGGGCGTTTACCCTCCTCATCCTCGCTGCCAGCACGGGATGAAGGTGGGGAAGGACAGGCTGGAGCTGGGGTGGGGGGAACATAAAGCAAATGAAGGGGGGAAGAGGCAAAAGAGCATGGGGACCAGGCACTGGAGCCGCAGCTCAGGCGCGGGCCCCCTCGTGCCGTGCGCGGGGCCGGCGCTGGGGGGGCGCTGCCGGCGGCCGGGGTTGGGCCATGGGGGGTGGCTGCAGTCGTGATCCTGCTCCCGGCCTCCGGGTGCGCTGCAAGGGAAGAGACTCAGTGAGGGATGGATGTGACCCCGCTGCAGCAGCGCTGCTGCAGCCCTGTGCATCCCATCACCCCAGCTCTGGTGCCCTGGTGCTGGCGCAGTTACCTCTCGTGCTGGCTGTGGGGGGTGGCTGCCGGTGTCCCCCGTGGGTCCCTCTGCTGCGGCCGGGGGCTTCTTGGTGCCCGTGCTCAGGCTGGTGGCAGTGGTTGGACCTGGGGGGGCTGCAGTGTCCCCGGGGCTGCCAAGGGCTGCGGCTGTGAGTGAGCTGCACCGGGACCGCGTGGAGTAACTGTTCTTGGGGTGGGAAACTGCAAGGAAGAGCCCTGGGGTCAGTGCTGGAGGTGGGACATGGAGCATCCACCCTCCAGCAGCAGAAGTAGGAAAGGGGGGAGTGGCACCTCCCTCACCTTGGCCGAAGGCAGCGATGCTCCTCTTGAGTGCATCCAGGTCGCAAGAGAACCGCGCCACCCGGCCCAGGTCCTCATCATACTTGCGCTCACTCACAAAGTGCTGCTCATGAGAGGCAGAGCACGAGGTTAGGAGAGGAAATTGAGAGGAAACGTTGCCACGAGTGGGAACCTGCGCTGGGAGCTGCTCAGGGGCACTGGGAAGGGGGTGGCAATGGTCACTTCTGGGAACCATTTCTGCTCCATGCAACCACCCCCAATCCATGGCACAATCCCTTCTCCATGGAACCATCCCCAGTCCATACAGTTGGCACAGCCCCAGTCTCTGGACACTCAGAGAGGAGCTGGTTTCTTGCTGCACTAATCCTGTTCTAGGGCTGGTGTTTTACAGACCTCCAGTACCTAAAGGGACTACAGGAGACCTGGAGAAGCGCTTTGACAAGGAATGCAGGGACAGGACAAGGGGAATGTCTAACCTGCCAGAGGGGAGATGGAGGTGGGATCTTATGAGGAAGTTCTTCCCAATGAGGGTGGTGGGACATGGAATGGGTTGTATGGAGAAGCTGTGGCTGCCCCATCCCTGGCAGTGTTTAAGGCCAGGCTGGACTAGTGGAATGTGGCCCTGCCTGACTGGAGCTGGAGGAGCTTTAAGGTCATTTCATCCCAACCCATTCCACGGTTCTGATCTACAAACGAAGGGCTTTAAATGAAGGTGTCCCCAGGGGAACAACCCCCTCCTGGTGGGTCTGAGCAGGAACCTGATGTGGGTGCTCTCACCTTGATGTCAGCCCGGAGCTCCACCAGCTGCTCCTCAGACATCCTCACAGCCACATCCGTCATCTTCTTCAGTGCCTCTGCCTTCCTCTGCCGGCTGCCCAGGATCTCCACTGGGAACACAGCATGGCTCAGCACCACACCAGGACCAGCACTGCACCAGTATCAGGCTCTCCTGAGCCCCCTCTTCCCACCCATGCACCAGCAGCACTGGGAAAGCCCTTTTCATCCATCCTCGATCATGGAGCTCTTTGGGAATAGCACCCCGATGGAGGCTCAACCAAGGCATAGGGCAGGTGGTAGCAGGGGCAAGTCGTGCTACGGACAGGCTTTGGCTGGGAATGGAGCCAGAATGTGGGAATAAGGGGGATAGGAGGTAATTCAATGGAATCCTGGTGCTGGGGGTCCCTCCAGCAGCACCCACAGCTCTTGTAGGGGAGAACAAGGGGCTTACTTGCTTCTGCTTTCACTTTGTCCATCTCGGCCAGCAACGCCACCTCCCGATCCATAAGGCTAGAATGACAGGGAGAAATGGAGCATTAAACAAAGGCTGGTGCCATCCCACGGCAGGAGACTGGAGGACGGTGGCAGGAGCGAGCTGGGATCGGCGGCATTCTGAACAGCCTCTGAGCACCATTGGAAAGGGGAGAGGGAGCTGTGGGGCTTTTTCCCGCTGGGCTCCTTCCCTGAGGAAAACAGGGAACAACATGGAAAAGAGGAGCTTAAAATACAAGAGGAGTGGGATGAGCAGCAGATCCCTGCAGAGCTGTATCCACAGCATCTTCAGCTCTGCTCATCCCAAGGTTCCTCCCGCACAACCTGGGCATGTTGAGAGCTGGGAAGGTGCTTATTGTGAATGCTGTTTCTTGGGAATGGGATTTCTTGGAGCCACCACCTGAATGCAAATCAAGGCACATCTGAATGCAGGCTCCCACTCCTGCTCCATGAGGCGGGATCAATGGAAGCAATTCCCTCTGAGCAGGAGCTCTGACATTTACCTGCTTGTGGAGATTTATGGCCCATCCAGCTCCTGCTCTGAGCAGGACTGGTGCCACCAGGAGCACAGCCAGGGCCTGGCCTGGGGCAGGGACACAGAGCTGGGCAGAGCCAGCATCCGCTTGGGATGGAGCCTCCGTTCCTGCTGCCGACCCATAGGGAAGCACATCCTGGTCCCTCTCTGCTGCCACAGTCCCCTCACAGGGGGGCTTTGAAGATGTTTAAGCAGCGCACAGGGAAGCACAAAGGCTCCGGGTGGGATTTCCCTGCTGGGATCCTTTCCAGCCCCATTGCCATCCAGCCCACAGCACCTTGTCCATAGGGAAGGTGAAGGTTGGGAACACCAGGAGGCCTCAAGGCTCAGCAGGACCAGAAAGGGCAGCCCTGACAGCCAGAGGTTAAAGCAGCCCAGGCTTTGCTGCTCCAATGCCCTGTTCCAGCTGAACAAACCTGCTTCCAGGTCTGCCTTTGGCAGGAAGCCACCCAGAGGCCATGGGCTCTGCTGTGGGGTTTAAAGATCCACTTCATCCTCCTCTGGGTCATGGAGGGGGAAGCAGCATGGAAAAGCCCATTAAAGAAGGTGAAAGTGCTGGAGGGCAGCAAAGGGAATGTTTCCCTTCTCCCTGGGCAGTAGTTCCTAGGGTGTTTGCTGAGGGAGGCTCCTCTGGGCTGGCACCCCCCTCCCTGCTCCCGGAACTGTGTCCTGCTCAGAGCTGGGGCTCTCTCAGCGTGACGTGAGTGTTCCACTGGTAAAGGTGAGGAGCTGCCCATGGTGGCTTGGAGACACCAAGAACACCCTTAACCTGACCTATGGGGCTGGGGGAGGCTCCTCAGGTGAAACATCACCTCGAAACAGAGCCAGGAGCTGGGCTGAGAATGGGGCACGATGGTCCCTGGTGGTGCTGCACCCCCAGCATATCCATGTCTCCCTACACTGAGGATCTCAAGGAGCAGGGTTTGCTCCTCACAGCCACATGCAAGCTCCAGCGCAGGGTGAGCACCAGGCTGACAGCTCCTCACACCTCCTGCATCCACAATGATTCTGTCAGACACAAGCCCCAGCTCAGCAGAGCCTCAAATCCCACCTCACAACGAGCTTAGCCTATGTGCCAGCTCCTCAGCACCCTCACAGGGAAGGATTCCTTCCTAAGAAGCCATCTCAATCTCCCCTCTGGCAGGTTAAAGCCATTCCTTTTGTCCTGCCCCTCCATTCCTTATCCAAAGCCCCTCTCCAGGTTTCCTGTAGCCCCTTTAGGCACTGGAGCTGCTCTAAGGTCTCCCTTGGAGCCCAGCTCTCAGCCTGGCTCCATGACAGAGCTGCTTCAGCCCTTGGAAAGCTGCAGTTTTATCCCAGGTGGATCTTCCCAAAGCTGGAACACCCGGATCTATCCCTGCATGAAACTCACCTGCTCTGCAGCTCGGCAAAGACCTGCTTCATCTTCTTGATGGAAGCATCCATCTCCTCCTTCACCACCACCCGGTACCGTGCCAGTGACACAGTGCAGCGCTGTAGATCCTTCACTGACTTCTCAATGTTGGAGCCTACCAAGAGACAGAGCGAGCTCGAGCCTTGTCCTCCCAGCAGGGACCAGCTACCCATGGCATTTCCTCTCCTCTAAACACCAGGCATGACCTGGGTTAAAATCTCCCTTCCCCAGGAGGCTTCCAGCACTTCCTCCTGTGGCAGTGATATCCCTCCATGTTACCCAATCCCCAAGAGAAACCAAATGCATTTGTGGTAGGGACCCGCTCCAAAGGCCACCCACCCAACACCAAATGATGCTTTGCATGGAGGGAATTCTCTTGGAAAGGAAGATGAAGGCTCTTCCCTTGCAAGGATGGTTCTGGCCCCACAGTGAGCCCCTTGCCCAGCTCTCTGGAGCTCATTGCCCTGCCAAGCTGCATTAACCCCACTCCTGACAGCATCCCTGTGTGGGAGGAGGACAAGGACACCACCTCATGTCCCTGCACTGAACAGAACCACAGCGGGGTCTGCGGTGCCTCCTGTCCCCAGTGGTGCCTGTAACAGCTCAGCTGTGCAGAAAGCACATGGCGAGGGGGGGACAGGGGCAGAGGCGGTGGCTGTCACCTCTGCTGACAGGATGTGCCCAACATGTGGCCTTTCTCACCCAAATGAGAGACAGGCTGGAGGTGCTTCGAGGAGCGACCCAGCCCCGCTCACACCCGCTGTGCTGCTGCAGGCACTGGAACTAAACTGCTGCCACAGGTCCTGCTGCACGGGAGGAGCAGAGGGAGAGAAGGGGGGCAGGGTGCAATGAGCTGCCCAGAGGCAAAAAGGGTGCTCGCTCACATTAAAATCAATGTCCAGTGGGCTCAGCACTGTCTGACAGTGCTGCCGTGGCACAGACACAGCGAGAGCCTGGCCTGCAGCAACCTGCTCTGGCACCTGGGGGGGCAGAGACAGCAATGGGAGAGCAGAGCTGACATTGGGGGTGCAGAGCTGGCAATGATGGGGCAGAGCTGGCAATGGTGGGGCAGAGCCTCCGGTCTTACCCAGCTTCCTGTTGGCAGGAGACAGGGTCATGTCCTCGAGGTGGGTTGCAGACAGGGAGGCAGGAGTGGAGTGGCTCAGTGCTGACCTGGACAGAGACCTGCCTGTGCTCCGGTGCTCAGGCCGCTGCCTGAGGGATGAAGGGCTCTGGGAAGGATGCAGGGTGAGCGATTGTGTGTCAAAGTCTGCTATCCCATTCGCTAGGTCAGGCACTGCTGTAGGAAAGCACACTGCTTTAAAGGGGGAGTCTGTGAGGGTGGCAGAGCACTGTCCGCCACAACCACCACAAGCAAACCAAAGCAGAGACCAGCCCCTCGGAGCTGAGCTGGCCTCCAAGGTTGCAGGAGACAGCTCCTCTGCTTTGGGAACACGCAGTGCTCATCTCATAGAACCAGGGAATGGGTTGGAAGAGACCTTAAAGCTCATCCAGTTCCAACCCCCTGCCACGGGCAGGGACACCTTCCACTAGAGCAACTTGCTCCAAGACCCTGTGTCCAACCTGGCCTTGAACACTGCCAGGGATGGGGCAGCCATAGCTCCCTCACAGGGAAGAGCTTCTGCCTAAGAGCTCATCTTAATCTCCCCTCTGGCAGGTTAATGCCATTCCCCTTGGCCTGTCCCTACAGGCCCTTGTCCAAACCCCCACTCCTTTAGGTACTGGAGCTGCTCTAAGGTCTGCCCTTAAGGAGCCTTAAGGGGCTGAATCAGCCCAGCTCTCAGCCTGTCTTCAGCAGGCTCCTGAAGTGCTCCCTGGGCACTGACCTGCTCGGGGTGGCCCTGCTGGGCACTCACACTCCTCCAGCTCCCTGGCATCAATGGAGAGCGCATCCAGACCCTCGCTGAGTGAATCCATGGACTCGGTGTCATGGGCACAGCCGTTGACATGGAATCCGTTCATCCCGCCCTTCCCGGCGCTTCCCAGTGCCTCCTCCCCGCTGGATGCTGGTTTCCCTGGCTCCGGGAGGCCGCTGGGCTCTGCCTGTGGCTTGGGTTTGGGTTTCTTCTTCTTGTTCTGAGGATTGGAAATCACACCACAAAAAGGGGGAAAAGCATTAAGTGTAATTCCTGAAGGGAATTCTGCCTGCAGAAAGGAGCTGAATTAAAGCCTTTAGAGCCCAAGGGGCTCCCAGTCCCGGGCACAGCAGAGGGGATTGACTCCACAGTGAACACAGATCCAGCAGTATTAAGGCACAAAGCACCAAGAGCAGCACCCTGGTTATCACACAGCAGCTGTCATGATGGGAAGCACTGGGGAGCACCCAGGGGTGCTGTACTGCGGTGCTGTACCAGGGTGCTGTGCCTACCCTCCTCTCCTCCCCCAGCACAGGCCACACAGCCACGATTCCTCTCTGCCCTCCCCACCCTCCCCACCTCACGCTGCTGCTCTTCATGTATTCAAAGGAGCCCTTTTGAATAATGATGATTTGACTCCTGGTCCTGGCGGATTCAGGCATTAGAATATCAAATGTGGGCACTTTGCAGAGCTCCATTTAACCCTTTTGCTGAGCAAACACCCCCAAAAGCTGCTCTGACAAAGAAATCCACATCCTCTGAGCTCAGCCCCAAACGTGACTGCTCAGCTCTGCTGCCAAACACAGCAACGTGCCTGGAGTGAGTTACAGCAGAGCTCTGCAGGGACCAGGGGACCTGACCCACATCTCCCCCACGCCGTGGGTCAGTAGAATGAAGCAGCAGTGAGGACAGGAGCCCAGAGCCTTTGCTTTGGATGCTGGGCCTGACAAGTACAGCAAATGCAAATGTGGTTGATGCTGGGTACAACTGGCTCTGTAAATCACTGCCCCTGCAGTCAGGCTCTGCTAACCCACAGCTACAGCAACACCACACCTGCTCCTTGCCTCTCCTCTGGGTCTGAAGCTCTGAACACAGGGAAATGCTTTGGCAAAGTGCCTTGTGAAAGCATTACCTTTTTCTTGCCTGTTACAGTCCATTCCTTCAGTACTTCACTGGCGTTGCCTGGAACAAAAGGCAGGGGTGAGGCTCTCCCCTGGAACACTCCCCACAGCTCAGGGTCCATGCTTGCAGGGACTGGTTTCAGTTTTGCTTCGGGAATAGGGTTTCTCCCTTTCAACACAGTCCCAAGATTAAAAACCAAGGAAAAGCCACCCCTTCCCTCTGGCTTTGTCCACTGAAGGCTGAGGGAGCTAAGATACTGCTGAGCTCCAGCTCAGCTTCCTGCTGGGCTCTCCCCAGAGACTGCCTGTTAGGAGGCTGCTCACACCTTCTGCAGGCCAGAGGCTGGCAGGGATGGGCAGTGCAGGGTTGAGCAGTGCAGACAGAGCTGCAGAGACCAGCACCGCCACCTCCCCAGGGCAGCAAACGCACCCAGCCAGGCCCAGGCAAAGTTCCTTGTGTACTCCCACTTTGTACACAGGGGCAGGAGCTCCTGCTCTCATCAAACCTCCTGTACCTCAAGAGCCATCAACCGCTTATCTCTGACCCCAGGAACACACCCAGCTAAGGAGGACCCCCGTTAGGTGTCTGTGGATGTGCTGAGCCCCCCAGGCCACCAGCCACAGGTACCTTCCATGAAGGCTTGCACCGTCCTGTCCACACAGTTGTCAAAGTGCTGCAGCACGAGCACAATCTCATTGTTGCTCCTGTTGGGAACGATGGCTCTCACAGCGCTGATCTGCAGGGGACAGAAGGGGACATGGAGAACCTGTGTGCTTCATCCCACCCAAACCAGACCCAGGGACCCCCTCATACACCATTGAGCCTGAGTAAAACCTAGTTTTTGATGGAGTGAGCTCCTGGCCAGCACCATCCTTCCCCTGGGAGAGATGGAGCTTCCCAGCATAGGGCACTTGAGGTTCTCAGCACACACTTACCTTCTCCTTCATGTTTTCAAAGGTTCCTCCCTGGGCCAGCACCGTGTTGGACTGCACATCAAAAACAAAGCCAGATGGATCTGCAGAGGGAAAGCAAAGGGAAAGGCTCTTCTGAGCACCAGGCACCAGAGGTGGGAGCTCAGCTCCAAGCTGCTGCTTTGCCAAGAGCCTACAAGTGAAGGACCAGGTTCTGCCCAGCCAGGTAGAACCCGCTTTGCCAATGCCCTCCTAACCCTAAACTGATCCAGAGTCAGCTCTGGGTCAGATTAACCAACCATGGAGCAAAGGAGCTTGCTGGCGCAGAGCTGCTCCCACTCTGTGTCCATACTCATCCCGGCCCAGCACTAAGGAGTTAAGAGCAGCCTGGGAGCCTGGAGCAGTGGTTAAGAGTCCCCTCCACCTGCAGATACAAATGGCAAGCAGACTGATAAATGGGCTGGAAGATCCAGCAGCTTATGTTCCTGCCAGCCACAATCTCCAAGGTAATGCTTAAATGTTCCAGGAGAGACCCATAACAGAGACAGGCATCATGCCAGCTCCAAGACTCACCAGTGGGGCACATAAATCTGAGCCCCACACGAGCTCTTGTGTCACAGGGGCTGCAGGAAAGGGATCCTACAACACAACATGCTTCCAAGCAGTGGCTCACTGCTGGGGAGGGTTCTCTTGCACCCTGATGCCTCGAGCCCTGCGTGGAGCTGGGGAGAAACCGGAGGAAGCTCCTCGGGTGGCTCTGGGGAACACCAGGGGAGGGATATGTCCATAGGGCCGCTATTCCCAGCTGCTGATCCATGTTTTTCCCCCCACCTCCTCTAAATAAGGAGGATGCGCTTCCGAGCCACCCCACTGACTTTCAGAGACATTGATGTAGCATTTAAAACAGCTGCCTCCAAGCCCTGCCAGAGCCGAGCACAATGGAAAGGTCAGGCTCTTGTGAGGCTACACACAAGCAGATCAATCCTTCCTCGTCCATCCTTCCCCAGGAGCACAATTCCCTCCAGCTTCCCAGGCCCAAAGTCCTGACTTCCAGCCCTTCATCTTCTCAGTGGCTTTGCCAGCACTGAGAACAGCGATCTTCCCTCAAAATCTCTGTGGAGCTGCCTCCAAGGATGTAGGAGCAGGGAAAATGAAGCTCTGCCCATCCTGAGCCGCTCCATTGCAGCAGCTTCGCTTCCACTTGGCTCTTCCAGGGCAGGAGCTCAGCCCCAGTCCTGTGGATGGGAAGGTGTTTGGCCCGCACAAACCCACCTGTCACTGCCCCTGAGCACCCATAAACAGGGCTCCGCTGTGACGCTGGGGATATGCAGGAAGGATGGAATGTTAAACACCGGCACCGGGGCCATCAACACATCTGAATCCCATCCCATGGGATAGGAGAGCCTCCTGACCAAAGCTCAGGCTCTGTGTCCATCAGGCTGATCCCTCTGCATTACCCTACACACACACACTGAGCCCCAGGGATGGTGCCCGTAGTCCCCACTGCTTCCCTGCTCCCACTGCACCCTCCAGGCACACAGGTGGGAAGAATCCCTTCATCCCAAAGCATTTCCTCATGTGTTGCAGAGCTATTTATTGGAGTAACCAATACAGGACCCTTTCAGCTCCCCTGGGACCAGGAGCCAGCCTTTGCTCTATGAAACACTCCATCAGCTCTTATGGAAACTCCTCTAAGCCCCCAAGAGCAGCTTCAACCGGAATTTCTCCCACATTTGGGGTTTTGTGGCTCTGGCCAAAACTCTCCCAAAGACCTGTCACTATTCCAAGATTCCTGCTTTCCAGCCAGTGAAACAGCTCCTCGGTGCACCCCTGGGAGCAGGAGCCCAGCTGCTGCTTCCCTCGGGACCTGCCGTGCCCAAAGTGTGGCTGGATGTGACCTGACCGCTTTACAGATGCAGCCGCTTTCCTCCTCTGCACAGATCTGATGAGTAAAGAGTGAGTAACCTCCAGCAGCACCGAGCCCTGTGCAGCTGCACCACTCAGAGCTGAGCTGTTTGTTCATTGCTGTGCTCATGGCACTGCTGGACCAGGGAGGCTCCCATCCCTTCCACTACTGCTGCATTATTCAAAGTGGGCCTGGCTGGCTCCTCTCTCCCAACACCTCCTCCAGTCCTTTGTTCGGCTGCCAAGGGGCTTTGTTCCGCTTCCAGAACAAGCCATTCCTTACCTGAGCAGCAGCAACACTCCCTGGCAGAGGGCTGGGAATCGCTCCTTGCCTGCATTAACATTCCAAAGCAGCAGGAAAGTGGTCATTGGCAATTCAAGGCCAGGCAGGAGGCTTGGTTTAACCCTCACTTCCCCTCATGGCCTGGTGCTGGAGAGCAGCAAGACAAAGCCTTGAGCATCCTGCTCTGTGTCACGGTCCACATCCCTTCACTTTCCTTCAGGAGCCCTCCACGTGTTTGCTCCATGCTGCTCTGCCCCACAGCACCCAGTGCTGCTCTCCTTCAGCCAGACCCCCAAGATCAGCTTCCCACGATCCCTCTCCCTGTTCCCCACCAGGACCCATTATTCCCCTCCTGTTCCTCCCATTTACCTCTTGCCAGGCTCCGTTCCCAGCATCATTCCATCTTCCTCATGCTCCTGAAGCTTCCAGGAGCACAAGGAACAACCAGCACCTTCCAAACCTGCTCTCACATCATCCTACCCAGTTGCCACTGCTGCTGCTCAAGGCTCTGAACCCAGCAGGGCTGGGCTGTTCGAGGACACAGCTCCTCAGGTAGGCAGCATTGCTATGGAGAACAAAAGCTGCTCGGATGCAGATGATGGGAATTGTCAGCCCCATTCCCTTCAGTTATTAACTAGGAGCCAGTTCAAATAGAAGGAGAAGCCACAAACCTCCTTGCTCCCCCCAGCACCGCACACTGGGATTAATTCTCCACTCGGGGACAAAGCTCACCCGTCCCCGGAATACACTGCCTGGCGCAGGCGCAGCTTTCCCAGAGGAACAGGCAAACCAGGGAGGACAAAGCAAGGAGAAAAGCCGCTCCCAGCCTGCTTCTTGTCCTCTTCCACAGGGGAAAGGGATTGAAGGAGGTCAAGTTTGGATCAGGGAGCTGAGCTTGCCCATCCCAAGTTTCCCAATTGGATTCCTGGCAGGACAAGAAGGGCCAAGGCAGGAGAGGGGGGACAAGGGCTGCAGCTTGAATAGGGTCTAGTTTTGGTAAAGCTGATCCCATAAGGAACCCATAATTCCTCATGAGGGACCCAGAATTCCCTGTGAGGGACCTGGAATTCCTCACGAGGGACTCATAATTCCTCATGAGGGACCTCCCGGGTTCCCCAAGCCCTGGGGCCAGAAGGCATCAACTGGGGACCCCAGTCCAATGCATCCAACAGGCTCTGCAGCCCTGCTGTATCCTGGTTTTCCTCTCCCATCTGCACCCGTCATGTCCCAGTGGGATTCAGGAAGATGATCCCTGTTCAGCCATACATGAAATGCTGCTGAAGCTGTCACCAGGAGGCTCGGAGCTGTCACCACGGAGGTGACAAGGAGCTGCAGCAGCTCTGATGGGGACCCAGCAAACCCAATTAACTCCTTCCCTAATGGAGAGCTTAGGAATCACTGGTGCCCATTGCAGCATTCCATGGCTCTTACCTCTGGTGTTTTGCTTCCTAGACATTTCCAGGCACACGGGAAGGGGGAAATGCCAACAGCAGCAGTATCCTCGCCCCCGAGCAATGGATCCGAGCGGGAACCAGCAGGGGTCTGGGATGGGATGGTCAAACGGGGTCTGGGGTAGCAGCTGCAACCACGGCGCTTCCTGGGAAGAGGAGCTCCTGGTCAGGAAGGCTTCCCTGGGAAAGGGAAAGTCTCAGGATCTGGAAAGGAAAGAAATGGGAATATCAAGGAAGGAAAGGGTTGAAGCGATGCTGAGGACACCCCAGGCTTCTTGGAACCACCTTAGGAAGGGAATCAGTGTCAAGCAGGGAAAGGGAGGGGTGTGAAACAGCACCAGGATCCAGGTGCAATTCCAACAGGCTCCATTCCAAGCTGCTTTAAACCAGTGCCTAAGGAGAGAGGGATAAAGCCCCCAGAACAGCAGCATTCCCATAAGTTTTTCAATGCTTTTTCCCTGCTTAATCCAAGCAAGCTGGAGCCCAAACCTGCCCTGTCCATGTGGAATTACAGCATTCCCTGTGCCAGCCCTGACTGAGGGAGGCAGTGAGAGGCCACTGACAAGTTAAACAAAGAACAAGAGGATCCACAAGGTAAGGAAACAATGGAAGGGGAGGATCTGGCCCTGCACAAAGTCTCAAAGCTGGAAGCAAAATGGGAAAAATAGGGAAAAACAGGGAAAAGCCATCCCCAAACACTGGCCATTGGATGTGAGGACTGCAGTGAGGCTCCTGGCCCATAGGAACTGGCCTCAGTGCGGCAGGTTCAGCCCCAGGGTCCAAACCCAGACATTCCCATCATTGGGGTTTTATTTACTCCAGAGTTGTTTCAAATCCCTGCCCCTGAAAATCCAAATCCCAGAGCACAGAAAGGGATTTTTACCTGCCAAGAATCCCAGAACATTCCCAGTTAAATCCTTTCAGTCCTTCAGAGGCACCAAATCCCCCCCCGGGAAACACCGTGGCCATTCAGCTCTGCTCCAGCTGGAAATTCCATGGGGGATCAGGCACAGCTCAGAGCTCAGTCCGAGTAGTTTCACTTCCCACTGTGCCCGCACCGGGAACGGCTCTGGAGGCGGGAGTTAAGGGCGGGTGGGGAAGGTGCCTGTGACACCGGAGCTCCATACCTGATCCCAGGCAGAAAAGCCAATCCCAAAGCACTTTAGCAGCCCAGAAAGGGAGTTTTCCCTGTTCCAAAGGGGAAAACTAAATAGCGCTGAAGTCCTGTGGTGGGAACAAACATAGAACAGGCTTGGAATTACTCCTTGGCAAGCTGGATTCCAAGCATGGGAGTGATACCAGGCTGGCAACCAAAGCCTACAGGGATGCGGGGATGGGAAGATGCAGCCCATGGAAAGAGCCCCCTGTTACCAACACAGGAAAAGTTCAGCAGATCCTATTGGAAACAAACGTTCCCATTAACAGCACAACCAGTGGCTCCTTTGGGAAGAGGGAAAAGCTCCAGTGCTTTAGAGACAGCAGGAAAGAGCCAGGTTCGGAATCACAAACGGCAGCTGCTCCCGCTCCAGCAGCCGACTTGTGGAGCTCAACAGCTCCCTATGGAAGGGAAAGGGATGAAAAGGGAGCAGTTTGTCTGGATTTGGGGTTAGGAGGCTATGGAAGAGCTTTTTGCTGGGAAATGGGGAATTATGACAGGGAATGTGCTGCCAGAGGGCGTTCACATCCACACTGTGCAGCAGTGCCTGGCTCTGGGGTTCAGCAGCCACTTCCCTTCCCGGTTTTTATCTCCATGGAGCTCATCCAGAGCCATTCCAGGAGCCATTCCCAAAGGACGTCCCAGAGGAGAAGTGCTCCAGGGTGTAACTGAGCACTGTGAATACAACCCCATTGTCCAAGCCTCCGGCAGCTCGGGCATGCAGGAGCTTCCTGAGCTCTGAATCCCTCCTGTAGGATATTAACTCCATTCCCAGCCTGGGCCAGCTCCAGAAGGGATGGTTCCACTGGGGATACTGGGATTTATTCTACCTGCCATAGGACACAGGAAGTTTTAGCAGCAAATCCCAGTTCACACACACACCTGTTCCAACAGAGCCTCCATCCTTCCTGCTCCAAGAACTTTTCTTCCCTGAAACAGGCCACGGATCATTCCCATTGGAACCCCACATCCACGAGCAGGGAATTGCAACCTGGGGATGGGGTTTTATCCCCTCAAACCCTTTCTCAAAGCTCCTTCCAGCAAACACCAGCCGGATTGGAGCAAGGTGCCAGCACAAAGCAGCCTTTCCCTTTGGATGGGACCTTTCCTGCTGCTGGAGGAACGACTGGGAATGATACAACAACAAGAACCATTTGAGGATGAATCAAATCAGGTTCTCAATATCCCTCATGGATTTGGGGAAGGCGGTTCCTGGTGTTTCCTTGGGAAGGAGCATGAAGCTGGGAGGTAACAGGCTGTATCCCGATTAAATCCCCACTTTCCATGTCCCTGCTCCCCTTGCACTATGCCCAGGCATTTGCAATTCCCAAACATCCCCCTCTCAGCCTTCACTGGGCAGCACTTAGGTGCATAAAGGAGGAACAGGATGGATTCCTGATGGGAAAACACGAGAGAACACCGGGATACATCCCAATGGTGCTTCCCAGCACTGGGATCCAGCTTCCAAGCACCTGAACAAGGAGCAGAGTGGGGTCTGTGCTCCTTGGGCAGGATTCCTGCTGGGATGCTGTGGCCACACTCAGATTCCACAAAGTGGGAATCACTGGTGGGATCAAGATCCTCCATACCCTTAGAGAGACGTGGAAACACTGCTCCCCATGGCTGGAAATAGGGGTTGGAGAGGGGATCACTGCTCCCCATAGAGGGGAGGGGCTGGAGGGGGGGGATCATCCCCATCACCCCCCCCTTACCCTCATAACCACCCCCAAAGCCGCTCCCGCCACCCCCCACGGCCGCCCCACCGAGGCCTCCCCGGCCCCAGAACCGGCTCAGGGCCCACACGGTCCCGGTGCCGCCCCCCCTCACCTCAGGCCGTCCGATGCACCGGGAGGGGGGCGGAGGGCCGCGGCCCGGCAGGAGCCCTGAAGCCGCCCCACAACCAATCAGGACGCGGCCACCGCTCGCTAGCCAGTGGCGACGTGGGATCTCCGCAACGCTCCCGCCCTCCGCCAATGAGAGGGGCGAAAGGGCCTACTTAGTCCGCCCCCCTGCTCCGCCAGCCTTTCAGATGCGACGCCGGGGCCGGGCAGAAAGCTTCTGGCCAATGAGAGGGCAGAAGGGAGCAGCGGCGCGAGGAGGGTGGTGCCCCCCCAGCCAATGGAGAAGAGGTCCGGCCGACGTAACGTCGAAAGCCCCGCCCCCTCACGCCGGGAAAGGCGGGACCAACCTCCCCCGAGAGCCAATCGGATCCACGAGGGACGGGACGGGGCGGGGCTGCTGGTGCCGAACGTGGACGGAAACTGCCGAGAGCCACCGCCCTGAGGCGGAAACACCCGAGTGTTCTCCGGGAGCGGCCGAAGGCTGAGCCGGGGCGGGGTGGCGAGCGGTTAAGCTCGGGGTTCGGGGCCCCGCTCCGCCTCAACAGCCCCGGAGCTGCCGGGTGTGCAAGGAACGGCGAGTTCTCCGTGCACAGACAACGTGCAAGGCTTTGCACAAGCCCCGTGTGATGGCTCACCCAAGCCCCCACCCATCCCTGTGGCCCCCCACCCCTCACTCATGGCGCGCTAGAAGGAACAAGGCAGCAGAGAGAGGGAAACTCGTGTTCACGCGCCCCGGCATCACCCCGGGGCTCTCCTGGGCCCTGCCAGCTCCTCGTAGGCCTCCAGCAGCTCGATGAAGCGCCGCTCGGCCTCCTCTGTGCGGTGCCGGTTGTGGTGCGGGTGCCAAAGCTTCACCAGCTCCCGGTAGCTCCGGTGCACGGCCTCGATGGAGGAGCCGGGTGGGAGACCCAAGACCTGCGGGCGAGAGGGGGCTGTGGGGACTTGACCCGCTCCCGGGGCCACAGAAGTACCTCCAGCAGCTGGAGGGGACCCCAGAAAGGGGGTTTGTTCCCCCTAAGGGCATGGAAGCTGTCGAGCCCCATGGACTCTGCAGCCCCCTGCAGCATCCCCCTTCCGCCCGGTACCCAGCGCCGCATCCTGCACCTCAAACGCCCTCCGCTGCTGCTTGCTCCTTTCGGTGCCGGCGCCACATCCCTGCAAGCCTCCAGCAGAGCCCAAGACCTCAGCCAGGAGCCGCCCAGCACGGAGGGGCAGGAGCAGGAGCTCGGTGACCGCACTGGCCAGCGCCAGCGGCCCGCTGAGCCCGCGGCAGGCGGGCGGTGTGGCAAAGGCTACAAGCGCCAGCGCCAGGCGGTAGAGCCGGGCTCGCAGCCGGGGCCGCGAAGCCCCGCGGTGCCGGTAGCCCCGGTGCCGCTGGGCGGCGACGGCAGCGGCCACGCTGATGGGCAACAGCACCAGCACCCGGCGCTGGAACAGGAGGAAGGCGGCTAAGGCTGCGGCCACCGTGCGGGGCGCCTCCGATGTCTGGTCCCCTACCGAGGCCACCAGTTGCACCCCGAGCCCCACGGCCAGGGGCTGCGCCAGCATCGCCGGTACCCCCGGCAGCCCCAGCGCCGCAGCTAGCCCGAAGTACACCCCCACCCACACCTGGCCAGCCAGGTGCAGGGCACTGAGCGCCAGTACAGGCCCGGTGCGGGCCACGGGAGCCCCGTTGGCCATGGCCACCCAGCTCGGGAGGTGCCACACGTCCCAGAGCCAGCTGGCACCAAAGCCACCCAGTGTGAGCATCCAGAGCAGTGCGTGGCTGTCCTGGCCCAGGTAGAGGTGGTGCAACCCCAACGGCCCCCCAAGAGCCCACAGGCCATAGGCCACCAGTAGCTGCTTGGCCATAGTGTGTGTCACCACCCCCACGGGCACTGGCACGGCCGCGGTGTTTGGCACCCTGTGGGGTGGATGGTGCCATTAGGGACCCTCGGGTCGTGCTGTGTTCCCCGCCCGACAGACCCCTCCAGTGGAGTCTTACGTGTCCGTTCAGGACCAGTGCACACTAACATGGCTCCCATGTGCCCACCCACGATAGTGCATCCCCACCCAGCACCCACCGGGCCCACCCAGTGCCCCATAAACCCATCCAGGACCCCGTGAACCCACCCAGGACCCCATGAACACACCCAGGGACCCCTGAGTCCATACAGGACCCCATGAGCCCACCCAGGACCCTCTGAGCCCACCCAGGACCCCATGAACGCACCCATGGCCCATAAGCCCCCCCGACCCCTATCTTGACCCACCTCTCCCCATGGAGCTCCCATGGTGCCACTCCCCCAGTAGACTTTGCCCCACACACCATCAGTCAAAGGGCACTGGCACCGGCAGCAGTGCTGGGACAACGGGTGGGGGGCAGTCCCACAGCAGCGCCACAGGCTTACCCTGGAGGCACCGGGTGCGGGGTGGACTTGAGCCCCCCCTCCCGCCCCCACCCCGTGCAGCCTCTGTTTGCTCAGCGCTGCCGTGTTTGCCGGGATTAACCGGCTGCAGCCTCCAATTTGGGCTCATCCATTATTAACGGCTCCGCAGCGGTCCTGTGCTGGGGGCTCAGCTACGGGGGGGGGTGGGCTGAACCCCCCTAGGCTCAGAATGCCCACAGCAATGCAGCCAATGGATTTTGGGGTGTGTTACCCCACTAAGCACTGGGCTAGGGCTGGGGGGGCCCCCAGCACTGGGGTGGGGGGATGAAAGGCAGGATGCTGGTGGCAATGGGCTGATGTTGTGGTGGAATAGGGGCAGAAGGGAGATGCTGTGAGCAATGGGGGAGATGCTGGGGGCTATGGGGGGGATGCTGGGGAGCAATGCAAGGATGCCATGAGAAATGGGAAGATTCTGTGAGCAATGAGGGTTGCTGTGAGCAATGGGAGGATGCTGAGAAGCAATAAGGGAGATGCTGTCGGGCCCCCCCGCCCCGCTGCCCGTCAGGACGCGCTGACAGC